CCTTCTTTCTAAGCATATACAAATGAAATCCTGGCAGCTAATCTTCACAGGAACTCTGGTCGTATGTGTTGGGGGTGACGTGGGGAATACCTGAAGTACTTGTTTTCTGCACTTACATACCAAGTACTTTGCTTTTTATTTAAGTTGTACTTCTGAGGGACCTGTTTGTGGGAGACTTGGAGATTATTCAGGGTTGGGGTGGGCTAAGACACCCAAATTGCTTCTTGGCACTGTCACTGAAAGTGTCCTCAGTATGCTCTGTAGCGCTTTCTCTCTCTCTCTCAGCTGGATGCAACATTGCTCCCTCCCCTGCCCTCCCCCATGGGGTCATATCATCTTTCTTCCATTTTATTTTGTGCTTTCTAGCTTTTATTCCTATAAAAGTTGGCTTTTCCCACATTTCCTATGTTGCTTTTTCTTTCTTGCTTGCCTTTGGATTAATTGAACATTTCCTCTCATTCCATTTTTCACCTACAAGTTTAAAAGCTGTTAAATTATATTCTTAAGTGGATACCTAGAAATTTTACCATGTATACTTTACATATCAAAGTTTAGAGGAGGCAGAATCTTCGGTTGCCCTAACTAGGTAGTGCCTGCATGGAACATGGCCGGCTTCCAGGCCTCTTGACCTTGCCCTGCCCTACCCACATTCCACAGCCAGAGCCTCCTCCCTCCCCCCTGTACATACCCAGGCTTTGGCACCAGCCGGGGCAGCTGGGACCATTCTGAAGCAACTCTATCTCAGTGAGACAGTCAGGAAGACAAAGAAACCTCAGAATCCAGGCTAGAGCTTACCTGACCCATTCTCCATTTATTGGTCACTACCCATCCAAAAACAGCTATGTGAATATTTATCTTAATTGTGTCAAACACTCCACGTGGAAGCTGGGTGCTTTCCACATATTATCTTATTTAATCCTCCAAACAACCTTATGAAGTAGATACTATTATAACCTGTTTCCTGCAGATTAGCACCTGAGATTTAGAGAGGTTAAGAAACTTGTCCAGGGTTGGATGTGTTCTCAGACCAGTTAGAAACTCAAGATGATGTTCTTAACTAAAGCTTCCGTCTGTCCCAGGCAGCTAGTATGTCTGATGAAGACGTGGTGGGGCCCAGGCAAGGCTTATATGCTGGGTGTCCTGAATGCTAGGGTAAGGGCTTGGCATTCTCCTGACTGCCCCAGTCAGGCCCCTGGGGGTAGAAATGATTGGAACCTTATGTCCAGGAGATGCCAAGTGAGGTAGAGGTGGACTGGGAATTACAGGAGGGCTGTAAGCCCACATGACTTCTTTCTCTATTTGGATTCCTCCAGAGGGGAACAGAAGCCCTGTTTGCTTAAGGGTCACACTGCCAACTGGTCTAGCTGTCCCTCAGGGAGAGCCAAGCAGGAAAAATGCTGAGTCCTCATTGCTGGAGACAGAGGGAAAGGAAAAGGAGGAGAGAAGAGAAGGGAGAAAGAAAGAAAGAAAGAAAGAAAGAAAGAAAGAAAGAAAGAAAGAAAGAAAGAAAGAAAGAAAGAAAGAAAGAAAGAAAGAAAGAAAGAAAGAAAGAGAGACAAGGAAATATGTCCTTTTGGACTACCCTCCTCTACCTGATCCCTGCCTCAGTTTCCCAGGGATGTCAGTCAAACCTAGGGAGTGGTGAATGTGAGTTCCTGATAGGGGAGGAGGGGCCAGATTATATTTAGGAGAAACAACGTTTTGTCTAGAAGAGTAGTTCTCGATTTGGGCTGCACGCTGGGATTACCCGGGAGCTTTAGAAGCATCTGATGCCTTTGATGCAGCCCCACCCCCCGCGCTTGCCCACATCTGTGTTTCCTATCTGCACGGCCTTTTTTCTTTGTTTTAAAAATTTTATTTTTGTTTAAAATATTACAGATGTCCCTTTTTCTCCCCAATGACCCGTTCACCCCGTTCCTTCTCCCTCTCCAGTCCCTCTCCCCACCAACTGGCTTTTGAAGGAGAAATGAGTTTTGCCAAGCAGATAGGTATTTGGAGATGTGAGGATATGCCACTTTAGGGAGGCAAGGTAGTACTGGTGTGTAAAGAGAAGACAGTATTTAGATCACTAAGAGCCTCATTTTATGCTGAAGGACTTGCTTTTATTGCATTTTGGATCACTGGCAGCATTCTGNGCGTGGCCTTCTTAATGGGGTGGTGCTGAGGATCCTGAGAGCTTGGCATTGCTTTGTGCACATTGCAAGGTCAGTGTGCTGCTGAAGGGTGCTTTCCCTTGCTGCTGTGGCCAGTGCTCAAAGTGAGTTGGGGGAGGTAAGGGGTCAGGTTGAGGAGCATAGTGAGCCTTGGGCTCCCCACCAGGCAGCGGCTGCTGGAACCCAGTCACAAAAGGTGCCAAATACGCTGTCCAGAAGGGCACCCATATGGCATTTCTAATATATTTTGCATTTGCCAGTCAACCTTTCCTTACCTTCTCTTCCCCACCCCTCCTGCTATAATAGCCAATCCCTTTTATATCCATTCACTTTCAACATAATCAGATTATTTCCTGCTCTCTCTCATGGGTGGTTTGCCCAGGCTGGTCTCACTTAGAATTCCTCTAGGAGCCCTCTCAGCACTTCCCAGGTTAGCTCCACTACTCCAGGGATACCAGGTTCATCCCACCTGTCCCCTCCCATTTTAATTCCACTCAAGTTTCTTGCAAGCTAGCCCCCTAAATATGTTTCAGCCCAACTTAACCATGCCTGTCCCACTTTCCTGGGCTTTCCACAGTGTACCACTTAGGAATCCTTTGGGTTCACGTAACAAAAAACCCAACTCAAATGGAACTTAAGTAATAAAGTGGATTGATTGGCTCACATAATGAAAAGATCCAAAGGCACTCCCAGCTCCAGGTGAAGCTTAGTCCAGGGGTTCAAAGGAGGTGACTAGTATTCAGTTTCTCTCTGTATATTTCTCAGTTCAGTCCCTTTGGCATCGAGTATCTTCTTGTCGTGCTCTCCCCATGTGGATTACTCCTGAGAGCACATGCTTCCAGGTTCAAATCCAATGCCAGAGAGTCTGTTTACAGAGAGCTTAAATTGTAGACCAAAATTGAGTTCATTGGCCCTGATTGACTGACTTTGCTCATGTGCCTGTCCTTGAAAGAGGCAATGGGAATGTAGACAGTCTTAAAGAAATATGGGTACAAGCTGGAGTTGGGGGTGAGGTCAATCCCTCTGCACCCCAAAGCCAATAAATTCATGGTACTTGTTGGAAAGGGGCAAGCAGGGAATGGATACTAGGAGTCAATCAACCAGTATCCACTATACCCACTTACCATTTTCTAGGCTAGCCCTGTTCACTTCCCAGGTGCATCCTAAATGGCTCTGGCTGGGAGCCATGGCTCCTTCATCAGGTGGGAGCTCCCTCAGGCTCTCCCCAAACACTCCATGATACCATCAGGCTGAGATCGCACTGATAAACAAATTCACCATGAACTATGGAATTCTGCTGATAGCTCTTCATGCACCCTTATTGACTTCCATTTTAAATGGGGCATTCCATGTCCTGATCTAATGAAATGAAGCACAAATATGGAATTTCAGGAACTCTCTGGATTTCCTTTTACTGTACTGACATCTTGTTTTCTCTGCTTATGGGTAGGACTAGATAGGGTGTCTCCCCAGGAGAGGAGTTGGAGGTCACGCTGGTGTTTTCCCATTCCCTGAGTCAACACCTGCAATCTGAGTTCTACAATCAGAATTCCAGGTCCACCTGATTGCTGGTTTGCCCACTGCCACCTCCATGCCAGGCTCATACTTTTCTCTTTGCCCAGCTAGGAGGCTCATTTCTGCATGTTGACTCCACCAAGCTCCCTTGCCATCTCACTTCTGGTGGGGTTTGGCTGGTAGGAGATACCACTCAGAGATTAGATGGAGGGAGAGGAAAGGGGCTGGGATATTTCTTCTCTGCTCCCTCCCTCTCTAGCATCATTTCTCTGGCAATAGCTGCCCACGCCAGGCTCCAAGAATCCTATATTTTCCCCTTGTTCCTTCAGCTTAGGGATGTCAATGGGTTTCCTGCTTCTGCTAGTCTCTGGAAGCCACACCATACCTTGTTTGATTCCTTAACTCTGCCTGTCCCTCTGAAAGAAGCCCTGCATCCATGTCTTTTCATCTGAAACATATGCAGTTACCTGTGGGACCCTGACTGTTACAACCAGGTCTGGAGCGAGAAATAGCAGACTCTCCCCAGGCAAAGCTGGGGCCTGGGCAAACTTTCTTCTTTAACAGAATTCTGGGCTGAGCAATTGAGAGCTACAACTGCCTTGCTGTGAGGTTTTGGAGAATTCTCTGCTCCCCTCTGGGCCCAAGTGGCTCTCTCTCCATCAGTCGAGGAGGGATTGAATTTGATGACCCTACTCATCACCCTGAAAGTAATATTCTATGTTCTTTAGTGTCAAGTTTGTACTGTGGTCTTGGGGTGAAGTTGGCCCTTTTGTGACCCAGAATCTTCCGTCTGGGACTAGAAACTTGTCCCTCAAAGTGTCTCACAAAAAAGGGACTCAAAGCATCATAAGCCTGGCATAAATGCAAGCCCTTCCAGTGGCCCATAGTGAAAGGGACAGCGGAAAGCACAGGAAAGCTGAGCCTCAGTTTCATTATCTGCAAAATGGGCATAAAGAGCGAGTACCTGTGACCTCCTTGTTTGGATTAAATGAGATAGTGTGTAGAAAGCGCCTGAAACAATAAGGTGCTTATTTGAAAAGGCAGTCATTATGCAATGATTATACAAAGAATTGCCTTCTGTTTGCTCCTGCAAAGAACCAAGACAAGATACCCATTATCTGATTTCTTTGAAGCCCTTCACCTGGTTTCTTTCCAGCTACTTTGGGACTAGTGAGCCAGGCTGTTTTTTCTGCTTTTTGTGACTTTTGGGGCTTCCATCTCCACCTTATGAAGCTCTGTCCACTCTGGGCTGCTATTGGTAGGGCTGTGGCAGGAACTGGCAAGGTGCCTAAGTCTAGAGTATAAAGGAACAAGGGGAAGAAGGAGAAACCTGGGTGGCTGCAACTCTCCAGCCATGGTGCCTGCCTTGTTCTCCCTGAGCCTTTCCTGCCTGGGCCTGTGGGCTTCTGGACTGATCTTGGTCTTAGGCTTCGTCAAGCTCATTCGTCTGCTGATTCGGAGGCAGTTTTTGGTCAAAGCGATGGACAGCTTCCCAGGGCCCCCCGCCCACTGGCTCTTTGGGCATAGCCTCGAGGTACATGGGGGATAGGAGGAGGGAGGGGTAGAAAAAGAAAAATGCCTCTTTTTCTTCAGAGAATCCAGCCCAATCCTCTGGGGGCATGGAGGGAGACCCTACTTGGGCAGGGAAATGATATCCTTGGAGCCGTGGTTCCTATTCAGCTTTCCCACCGGATCTCCCCCCTCCATCCTGCCTTCTGAGTTTGCCTGGGTGGGGGAACTTTAAAGTTGGGGCCCAAGCAGGCCACAGACTCCTTCCTGTTATTCTGAGGCCCAAGGTTCAGAAAGAGCTCTGCTAAGGGCTTGGTGATAACATCGGGGCAAAATCCCTGAATAGTCTGATAAAATTAAGCAATCTCATTTAAAGTTTAGCCAGAGTCCTGTTTGTTCTGTGCAGTGTAAGGATTTCAATTTTTAAGGTGGAAAATTAAAGTGAAGGCAGAGATGAGTGCTGTCACCTGAGAGATCTCCTAGGACACCTAAGCTGTTGATGCCCCCAAAGGTGGGGTTCTCCTGGCAACGCCTATGGGCTGGCTCAGGAGCTGTGGCATCATCCTGGGTTCAGATCATGACTTGTCCTCCCCAGTTACCTCAGGGTGGGGAGGCCACCTTAATACCCATTGTCAGGAACACCTCTTAGCTCCCTACCTTCAGGGGATCTAGACCAGAGGTTTCTGAACGCCTGCATTGGAATCAACTGGGAGAAGTAGATTTCTTGACCTCCAGTCTAATCAGCTGGAGATCCTAATCAGCATATTGCAAGGAGGAGCCTGAATTTAAAAACCTCCATGAGTGTCAGGACTGCAGCCAGGTTTGGGAGCCCAGGTATAGATGCCAGATATTAAAGCTCAGAGAGAGGCATAGTTACTTCTACGTCCTGGGTACCTTCCCCCATTCTCAGTTTGAGGAATTGTCTCTCCTCCATGGCTGATGCTGGGAATGAACTTGATGTTGAGGTGAGGATTGCCCAGGCTTATTTTTACCCCTACAAATAACTCCTCTCTCAGGATGACCTATTAACCTATATGCATCTTGGAGACACCCAGGAAAGAAAAGCGTGCAGCAGGGAGACAAATCAGATGCAGGCCCTGCTCTCAAGAAGCTTACTGTCTAGAGGGGAAGTTGACACCAGAGCCCCCTGCCCCAGTGTCCCAGTTTCTCTGGAGATGTAAACGCAGGTGGTCTAACTCCCAATACGTGGCTATACCACCGTGAGGGTCGAGAGACACTTTAATTTAATAAGACCGAGCCAATAATTCAAGTTTCAAGAAGGGAGACAGAGACAAACATGAAGCAAATCACACAGGGTTTATTTACCAGTTCCCAATGGTTCTTGGCACCAGCAGGCCACCCGAGGATCCGCTGAAAGACACACACAAGGTCTGGGGGTGCGGCCGCGACGGCGTCGGTCACTGCAGCCCTCTGGAAGTTCTCCTAGAGAGGTGCAGGGCAGAGCAAGGCAGGGTCAGCTTTCCCGGAGCTGGGGATGAAGTCTGTGGAGGGCAGACAAGCATCCAAAGATGTGGTCGAAAAGCCCCTGCTTTTAACAGCTGGGTTGAAGGTGTGGTGCGTCTTCAGTGTGTCTTATCAGGGTCCTACAGAGCGCGGGCCTGCTTGGAAGCCAGGGCTACAAAGTGTTAATCTTATCGTGGCACGCAGGCCTCACAATTACACTTGGTCACACAAGATGAAGTTACTTATTTCAAATCTAATACACACATCAAACTTATATTCCTGACTCTAATACACACACAAATCTATTTCTATAACACCCAGGCCGGGTGGGGTGCCTAACCAGGAGCCTGCACCAGCCCCACGCTCTGTGCCTCAGCGTTCTGTTTATCTGCTCATCTCCCCCACTAGACCATGACCCTTAGGAGATGGAGATCTGGCCTGATTCATCCCTGTGCCCTCAGGGCCTAGCACAAAGCCCGGCTCAGAGCAGGCATCTCTGAGTGAGCAAAGGGTGAATGCTGGAGAGGACAGAGGGGTAGCAACAGAGGAGAGAGAACGATGGAGAAGACAGGTGGAGGAACCGGGAGGGCTTTGGGAGAGGCTTTGCTAAGTACAGAAGGGGGTCATGGGAAGGTTAAGGTTGGACCCTAATGGTGGTATGAGAGGCATTCGGAGACCTTAGATCCCTCTTCTCTCGCATCCCCTCCACTTCCTCTTGCCTCCATCCAAGCTTGTTTTGCTACGAGAGGGACCTTGCTCCCCTCCCCCATGTCAGAGCTGGCTGCCTCTTCTCCCCAAATCCACCCATGACCCACTTTTTTAGAGTGTGTAGAACATCTGCAACATGGCTTAGCTCTGGCTTCTTGGTTCTAACACAGTAGGTGAAAGGCTGTAGCACCAGGAGGGTGGGGAGGCCTGGCTGCTCTCTGGCACTACTAAGGTTTCGGGAACCACGGCAGCCCTAAAAAGTTGAGGTTCAGAAAGGGCAAGGAATTTTCCTATACCCATGTAGTAGTTCAGAAATTGAGTCAAAGCTGGACCCAGGACTCCTGCCTTTTCCTTCAGGACATAATCAGGTCCTAAAAGGTGACTGCAAGTTTGATCCTCAGGCCTAGTGATGGTGGGAGTGGGAAAGGAGGAGGAGGACTGGTGGTGGAAGGAAGGGCCTGGGGCAGGGAGGAGATGTGCGTCAGAATTACCTTCTCTCTGCCTGGTCTTCAGGGGTAGCCTGGAGGTCTGGGACCATCTGCCTACCATCCTCCTCAATTCTCAGAATGTGTCCCCTTGAGGTGGGGTTATGTCTTATTCTTTTAGGGTCCTGCTCATTCCACTCTGGGGCCCAGGAGGGACTTTGCACATAATGGGTGCTCAGCCATATTATTGGCTTGAGGTTAGGGCTCCTGGGAGGACCCACAAATCTGACCTGGGAGAGGGAATGCCAGCTCCTGGCCCAGGAAAGGCAATCCCCTTGAGGCTGCATGGAGATGCTGGGCATCCCCTTACCTGGGCCCAGGGAAGATGGACATGAAGGTGAAAAGGTGGCACCCGGCCACATTCTAAGGGAAAAAGCACAGAGTGTCAGATACCTGAGAGGACAGGCCTTACTTAAAAATCCCCACAGCCTCCCACCCCATTTGACCTCTGGACCCAGGAATGGGGTGCCTCAGCGTTGGGTCACACTGCACTGTTCCGGTGCAGAGAGATCAGGCTGCCTATGGACAGAGCAGAGGGCAGGTGACCAGCTGTGTAACTTAGAGAAGCTGGCCAGGCAGCCCTGTGACGCTCCCCCTGCCCTAAGAAAGAGGACACCCTACCCCTTCTGATGGGGCTGCAGCTCCAGAATGGAACCAGGGGCCAAAAGCTGTCTTCATTCTTACCAGGTCCCTGGGGCAATCAAGGGCGCGTAGGAGAAAGCTGGGCATGGGGAGCCGGGATGCTGGTTCAAGCTGTAGACATAGTCAGCATGAGGTCCGAGTCTCCGGGCCTGGTGGGGTGCTGTAGAAGGGCACACTCATGGCTGATGCAGAAAGGAGTGGAGCTGAGATGAACCAGGTAAGCCTAGGGCTCCTTCCACCCCTGAGATCCTGTGAGTCTGGCTTCTCTGTGACTTAAGCCTCTCCCTGCCCCTGTCCACTGGGGTTCCCTCAACCTGGGAGGGAGGGAGAGAAGGGGAGCAGTCATGGTGATCAGAAAGTAAGTTGGGAAGGAAAACCCAGGAGGTCAGATGGAAAAATAAGAGACACAGGAAGAAGGGGGCACTTCCAGGGATGCCAACCAGGAAGGGGGCAGAAAAGAGGCAGGGACACCAGAAGTCCCTTCTTGCTGGTAGATGGAGATGGTGCTTATCACTTCGTGTAATGATAAACTTTCTGACATTGAGTGTACCAGGGCAGTGAAAATACACCACCTGCCACCCCAGCCTGCCCCCTCCAGGTTGAACTAATGACAGTAAGTTCAGAGGCAGTGAATGAGAAGATCTATGGGGAGATGACATTGGACTCTGCAGAGGGCCTGGGAGAAGAGCCCCAGAGAAGGCAAAGGACAGGTGGTTGGAGATCAAAGTAGCCAGGACCAGTCCCAGGGCCCTTCAGGAAAGTGGCTTGGGTCGGACATTATCAGATGCTCAGCGTCCTTCAAGGCTGTTTCCTGGAAGATACATGGATTAGTTGAGTGGGTGAGGACTGTGAAAGGGAACTTTGCAAGAAGGAAAGACAGGGCGAGCACTTGCACAGACCTCAACACCCGAGGACTGTGAGGTGCACAATTTATGCCCCTGAATACAGCAGCCCTGACAGACTTCAATGTGCAGAAGAGAATGTGGGGGCTCTCACCTGAGTTAGAGCAGCACTAATCTACAAACAATGGGCAAGTCAGTTCACATCTCTACACCTCAGTTTTCTCATCTGTAAAATGGGAGTGACTATGAATCCACTCACATAACACCTGGCATATAGGAGGTTATCGATACATATCTGTTCCCGTCCATTTCCTATGTCAAGAGATAGAATGCAGAAATCAGGACATTAGCCAAAGTAGGTAGGTTAGGGCTGGCTGGGAAAAACAAAAATCTGCAATGCTATTTGCCAAACCTATTCCCCAAATTGAGCAAGACTTTTGGCTGTTTCCTTAAGAGACTGACAGCCTCTGGCCAGTGTTGACATTAGCCAGATGCTTTGCGTGTGCCCTCCCCTCCTTTCCTGTCTTCCTTCTCCTTCATTTCCTTTTTTCACTCCACTCATTCAACACCCACTTTATCGAGTATGTACTATTTCCAAGTCCCTGTGCTGAGCTCCACGGTGACCTGGAGATGCCACCTGGAGATATGATCTGTGCACTTGGGAAACTCACAGCCCAGGGTGGATCCAGGGGTCCTGGGTGCGAATCCTAGTTTCCTTGCTAACTCACCATGTGACCAAGTTTCCTTTCCTCATCTATAAAGTGGGAATTATGATAGTGTCTATCTTAATTTTCTGAGGATTACATGAAAGAATTTGTAGGGCAGGATTAGTGCAGTGTCCGGCTACATTAAATGCTCAATGAATGCCAATTTTAATATTATTAATTTTTTGGTCATGGATGCCAGCAATTACAACACCCAGCAGACCATGGGAAGGTGTGGGAGGGGCCCAGCGGAAGCAGATTTCAGGCAGTGGAGGACAGATAGGTTCCTGGAGCAGGACATTCAGGCTGATGCCAAGGAACAAGCAATACTCAGCCAGAGGGTGTCTGTGGAGCAAGGAGTGATCTAAGCAAAGGTGCAGAGATGATGCCACACCCCAGGAGGTCGGCTTCGTTTTAAACATTTGGACATGCAAGGCTGCCATAGGCACAGCTGGCATCAGTCTTCTCCGAGGATATGAGCAGCTACTGGCAAGGCGGTGTCAGGCAATCCTCACAACATCCACATCAGCCGGCAGCCAGCCATCTGCTCCTTGGGGGCTGGCTGGGGCAAGGAGATGAGACCCACACTAGGGGGTGGGGGCCCACCTTGTCTTAGAATCCCTAAGCCCCACGGACTCGCAGTGTTTGCTGACTGCCCCAGGGTTCCTGCAAGGGCCACGCACTCACACTCAGGAAAGCCCAAAGCATGTGCCCCCTTAGGCGGTTATAGTTCACTCAGGTTCTTCCCAGTCCCGATGTTATTTACCAGCCAAAGTTCATTTCTGCCATAGCCACGATGCCTAGCACAACAGTTGACATCTTGCTGGTATCAAGTGTCCAGGGGAACAGAGTTGGAGAGTGTAAGCCAAGGTCAGCTTCCCATGTGACTGGGGGCTAGGTTTGGTCAGTCCTTTACCCACAGGTGGAAGTATCTTACGGCATGTTCAGAGCACATCCTTCACGTAGGTGTGGGCGTTTGGGAGTGGGATGTGCCAGGAGATGCAGGGAGGAGGCTTGGAGGAAGATGTTGGGGAGAGGTAGGCATGAAGGGGAGGGAACTACTTATCGAGGGCTCACCTTATGCGGGATCCAGCCCTGGGTCCTTGAATGTCACAAGACCTCAACCAATAACACACACACCCTGCAAGATTTATTAATGTCCAAGCAATTCTATAAGCTAAGTATTATCATCCCCATTTTACAGACGAGGAGAGCGAGATTTAGAGAGCCTAAAACACTTGCCCAAGTTCACACATCTTAAAAATAGGGGAAATCCATATTCAAGCGGAGGTCTGTCAAGCTCTGACGATTGCAGGTCATGGAGTCAGCTTTCCTAGTTCACATTCCACTCCCCTCACAAGCCGTGCAGTCCTTGGCAGCAACCTCAGGTCTCTACCTTAGGCTCCTCTCCCCTAAAATGGGGCTTCGTAGAGGGGCTGTAAGGCCTAGATGAGGTCAAGATGTAAGGTGCTTAGAAGAAGGCCCGGCACATGGCTATCCCTCCTCACAAATGATGCTCAGGCTTCATTCTGAGACCCAGGGCAGGCCACTGAGGGATTTGAAAGACCCTCTCAAAATAGGAAAAATGATAAATACAAAATGGTGCATCCCTATAGTGGAACGCTATGTAGTTATGAAAAATATTGAGGGATAGTTAATTGTACTATTTGAAAAGGAAGACAAGATATATTAAATGAAAAAGGGGCAGGTTTAGAAAAGCATTATATACTCTATTTTTATATAAACACCTCTGGGTGAGTAGATGTGGTTAGAAAAACTCCCAGAGAGCACACACCAAGCTCTGAATGATCCCTCCAACCTTATCTCAGGCCACCGTCCCGCCATGAGGCAGCTCCTGGGAGACACCACGCTTTTTCCCACCCCAGAGCCTCCGTACTTGTTCCCTTGACCTGGACGGCTCTTCTCTTACTCTTCACATGGACAGCTCCTTATCATTTCACCTTAAATGTCATCTCCAAACAGGGGCCATCTGGGTCACTCTTTTTTGGTTGTTGTTATTAATCCTCACCTGAGGATATGTTTTTTTCCATTAATTTTTAGAGAGAGTGGAAAGGAGGGAGGGGGAGAGAGAAAAAACATCAATGTGTATGAGAGAGACACGTGGATTGGCTGCCTCCAGTTGGCCCCCAACAGGGGCTGGAGATTGACCCTGCAACCCAGGTACATGCCCTTGACCAGAAATCCAACCCGTAGCCCTTCGGTGCAAGGGCCGATGCTCCAACGACTGAGCCTTGCCAGGCAGGGCCATCTGGGTCACTCTTATCCAAGCAGGTCCCCTCTGTTAGTCTCTTGTAGCACAGTGTTTATTTCCTTCTTCCCATTTACTATTGTCTGAGTCGTTTTGCTTAATTGTTTACTTGTTTCTTATCAGCCTTCCCCATAGAATGAAAGGGCAGGACCATGTCTGCCTCATTCCCTTGAGATATCTAGGCAATGCCCTGCACATAGTCGGTCCTCAATAAAAATGTGTCAAATGATGTAACAGGGCTGGAATCGAAGTGGATTTTTTTTGCACAACAAGCTGGTATTATTTTTCTAATGAAAAGCTTTAATGCTGAAAATAAATCTCTTTTTGACTGCAGTATAGTAGAGGGTTGGTGGAAGGCACCAGATGGAAGCAGATTGACCAGTCTGGGGTTGTTGAGCTAACCAGGTGCAATAAGAGGGTGGCTTGGACTTAAAGCAGTGGCTCTGGGCTGGAGAGGTACTGAGCCCAGAGATGGACAGGACTGGGTGACAAGCTGGGGGAGGGAGGGATGCTCCGGGTGTGGCTGGTAATGTTGGGTTCCTGAGTGGCCTGGCCTTCTATCACCATTACAGGTACAGCAGACAGAGAACCTGGACAAGATATTGTCCTGGACCCGCCAGTTCCCCTATGCCCACCCACTTTGGTTTGGGCCATTCCTTGGCTTTCTGAATATCTACGAGCCTGACTATGCCAAAGCTGTGTACAGCAGAGGGGGTGAGCATTCTTGGGAGAGGGCGGGACTTCCTGAGAACAAAGGGCTCAGGCATAACGTGGGGAGGAGTCCTTGGCCTGTACCCTAAGTCTGGGCAGCTGAGGTTCACATTCTGCTTATCAATAAGCCTCCTTTGGTAACCACCTAGTCCTGGCTTGACCCAGTCTTCTCTGTCTCCTACAGACCCTAAGGCCTCAGATGTATATGACTATTTCCTCAAGTGGATTGGTGAGTGGTCATCTTCCCTGCCCTTGGTGCTGGGTAACCAGGATACTTCCCTGCTCGGTCCCCACTCAGTCAGTTATCCATCCACAGACCACCTGGTTCCATGTGCCATTCCTAAGCTCATCTGCTCAGTAAGGAGACAGAGGAGGAGGCAGGAGAGCTCCTGGGTAGCTAGGGAAGTGGGGCCCAGGTGCCTTCTCCTGCTGGGTGTGTCTCTCCCCCTGGACAGGCAGGGCAAAGGATCTGGAAAATCTGAGTGTGAGAAACAGCCTCCTGGAGGGGGTGGCACTAGAGTTGATCCTAAGAGATATTACAGGTGGTGCTGGCTTGGGCAAGGGATGGAGGAAAGGTATGGTGGGAGGCCCAAGGCTGGTGTCACCAGAGGCTGTGTGACTGGAAGGCAGAGCTGGATCGGGAGGTGAGGCTGGGCGGGGAGGAATAGGGTG